TTTCTGCCCCAAGGCCTCCAGTGAAAGAAAGGATTTTAAAAAATCTTTCTGGTGCCATCTAGTTTTGTCACCTGAATTAAATCTTTAAGTTTAAATTCAAAACTTTAATTTTCAATTTTTATCTGGCAGGATCACTGTGAGAATGCAGTGGGACAATGAAAGAATACAAATGACATAAGCCCTTTGCTGGCAGAGACCTTTGTGTGGATCCCAAACACCTAGAACTATGCCTGTCACATAGCACATAATAAATGCTTAAGAGAATAAGGAAAGCACTTATATAATGCCTGAAGAGATCACTCATGCATTCTATCTTTTGCTTTCTGTTTAGTAGGCACCCAATATATATTTATCCAGAGCAGAGCAGAGCCACCAGATATCAGGGCAGCTGACTAAGACAATCAGCCAAAATGAACGAAGCAACCAACACTTCAATCCCTTACTGTGATAGCATAAGCGACAGATTGCATCAGAGAAAATACTGACTTACTGACTTCAGGCTTCCATTTCCCCTATGGAACAATGTCAGTGAGGGTCAGATGGCTGAGCACACACAGGGAATTTTCTAGCAACCAAGGGAGTCCAAACAAAAGCCACCATGCCCTTTCTGCCTTCAAATCAGTCAACCATAGACTGCACTCTTTAAAACAGCGAGCAACATAAACTTCTTCTTTAAGCTTTAGTTGTTGGCATTTCATCCCAGGAATGAGAAAATGATCAATATGTAAGCAGCAGGCACTGGATAGAGTCAGTGGGGAGCAGCTGTTTTTCAAGGTTCCTGTTCTCCCCCATTAGAAGCTCTCAGAAAAGGCACTGGAATAGGCTTCATGAATGACCTCAGTTAGTAAGCTGCCAGTGATCAGACCTAGAAAATCACACACAGGTTTTTGACTAGGAGCCACGCTCCTCCATGTTGCCACCAAAAAGTAGATGTGGCCTGTGCCCTCACAAAAGCACTGAGGAGGCAGGCCATAAACAAGAAAACAAATAAATGCACAATCACAGTGTACAATGAACACCCCAACAGAAGGGCAGGCGGGTGGAGGGGACTTAACTAACTTTACAGTGGTCTGAGTGCTTGGGCAAGCATCCTCAGAGGGGAGGTCTGAGCAGAGGACCAGGATGAGAAGCAGCCAGCCCCATAAAGGGCAGAGAGAAGAGGGAGGGAGAGGGAGAACACATCCACTAAGCAAATGTCAGCTCATTCCACCGTTCGCAAGATCAGACTTTAATTACACATACCTTGCTGGAGGGGGCAACGCAACTTACACTGTGTTTCATCCAAATCTGCAATAATCCACCACTTTATGATAAGTTTTCCTTTGATGTGCAACACTGGTGCATCCAATTGAATCTTATCTGTGGGTATGCAGATCTCATTTTTTATGCGTGTCAGACATTCTCAGGATGTAAATAATAATCTTTTTAAATTGGAATGAGCCCACATCATGTAGCTATGTGGGGAGCACCAGAAGAATAGATTCCCTTACTGTTCTCAGTCCCTCTCTTCTAAAACTCAGAGCTGCTATGGACATGACGACTATGGACTTAAGGGAAGAGGGGAGGGTGGGTGGCTGTTTTTCTCCCTGGTGGAAGACAGTGAAAGTTTTTCAAGTTTCCTCGGGCTGTCTCTACAAGCCTCGGATACAGAGCTCATTGCTGAGAATCAATTGGCTAGATCTTCCAGTACTTGTGGATGGCCATCAGCACCCCATAAGGAAAACATAGCAGTGATTGTTAGTCTGAATTTTGCCCAACATTATTCATCTTGTTTCAAAATTCCATTCTATTGCATGATCATTGCACATGATCAGTTCAAAGAAGCAAATCCATTTCATAGCATCCTAACATTTTGCATCTGAATTTTCAAACTATTTTCAGAGCTCTCTTTGAACAAGGTTGGGTTGAGGTACAGTATAGTTTATATCCTTGAATTATTCTCTTTTACAAAATAAAAAGAAAATAATGCTGTGAAAGGAGGATAGACTTTGAAACAAGACAGATGTGAGTTCTGATCCTGGGTCTGCCCCTTCCCTGCTCTGATAATCAGGCAGTTTCCCTGCCATCCTGACCGTGAGATCTGCATTCACTGGATTGGTTACCTCTCACGTGAATTGTGTGAAGAAGTAAGCCTTTAATAAGTCATAGGTGCTATTATAAATGAAGTAGGTTGCGTGGGACTCAAAACATACTGAATTCATCACTCTTCAAAAGTTGAGGCACCAAGTTCAATTTTAGGGACCCCAGAGAACAATTTTATAGAATTTTGTTCAACTGTTTTCTTCTCCCAGGTATGAGGCTGGGAGAATGAAGCTTAGAAAAGAAAAAGCAACTACAAGGTCCACAGATGCCTTATTAGGCAGTGCAGGTTAGGGCACCATTTGGGAGTTGGAGGGTCCAAAGTAAACAATGTTTTTCTCTCCTCCCAAGAAAGCACCCTAGGGCCTTTTTGTGCCATGCCTGGGGCCATGGGCTCATATGGCATCCTAGCAGAGTGCAGGCTTATTACCTGAATTGTTCTGATCAAACTCTGCCTTTGCCACATATATGACTTGTGAGCTGGACCAAGTTGCTTAAGTAACCTGTGTCTCACTTTCTATGTTTTTTAAACAGGGATTTGGGATGATTAACATATTCTACGTCCATGTATTGTTTTGAGAAAGAATTAAATTAATGTATGCTTGTATTATCAGGCCACAGATAAATACTGTTTTCCTCCAGTGTGAATCTAAAGTATCCTCCGCTGTAGTTTTAAACTTTCTAAATCTGCAATTTACAGAAAAAACAATGCGGAACAATCATCATCACACCTCATGCAAAAAGAGAAATAGCAATTACAGTCCACAAAGAGCAGACCCAGTATGGAGCTCAAAGGCACAGGCCAGGGGACAGGTCTCTGCTGGAAGTGGAAACTGACTGACCCACACTACCTTGCGGTACCACCGAGGAGGTGTCAGGGTTAATTACTTTAAACCAGCCAGTGGTTTAAACCCAATTTTAAATGGTCTGAATGCTTATATAACCTTGATTTTTAATTTGTCTTTGGAAAAGTGCCATCTCAATTTTAAAAATCCCCCTGAGCTCTGTGACTCATATCATCAGAAATCTGACCTTTCAATGAAAAGGGAAAAAAACCTAAGTTGTTACCTTGACGACAAAAGGTAAGCAGGATGTTTTGAGCTCTAGTGCTCCTGCTATAAATAATCCATCTTTGGCCAGAGGAATATAATGTGAGCATGAAAGGGAATAAGCTGGGCTGGGCATGGGGAGACCACTTTAATCACCATCTTTAGGAGTTATTCCCAAGGGCACTTTTGTTGCAATTACCCAATAAACAAGTATGAGGGAATGAATTAAATTTTCAAAAATGGGAGTTTATACAAAGGAGGATTGATGCCTTTTCATGTGAGAAATTTCTCTGTACTTATTTATACCTTTATCTAAACTCTGCTGTTTTTCTTTGCAATATTTATCCTCTGGTTTCCCAACGACCTCTAAGACAGAAGAAGGGAAACCAACAGTGAACTTTGGTCTTTCAGCCTTGATTTAGATAGTGTTACCACGTACAGTATCAGGAAAGGACCAGCAATAAAGTAAGATGACTTTTAAGACATTGTGGAATTTTTTTTTAATTCAATCTTCTTTTGGTTGAAGGTAACAAAATATCACTGAATTTATTTTTTTTAAACCAGCCATACTTATGGATAAGTTTAAGATTTATGGCTGTGATTATTCCTTTGCTTGCTGACGTAAATTAGTCTTCTGGGAAGTTCAAGTTATTTCTCAATAAGCTTTAATGTTCTGTGAGTCAGAGTAGGTGCTGCTGATAATAAATCTTGCAGAATTTATAAGATGGCAACTTTGAAACTGGGGGACATGTCAATGGGAATTTGGAAAGAGTGCATAAAAATGTTTCCGGAATGAGAACCTTGACTCGGATAGATTTCAGCTTCTTTTCAGTAAACACAGTTCACCCAAGAAAATTTCCTAAAGTAAACTTTTTCTTGCTCATTGGATTCCTTATGATTATTAATGCTTCTTATTGTTGCAGTGGGGTTAGAAGGTACATGATCGGACCCAGATGAAAAAAAGCAGGGTTACCTGATTTATTTTTTCCAACTGATTATATTTCTTTCTTTTTCATGTGAGAAGTTTCTCTGTCTTACAATCTTACGTTAGGTGATTGCAGGGAAATTATTCTGAATTGGAACACATTTAAGAGCCATAAGAATCAATACAGCATTTTAATAAAATTCCCCAAACAAACCAAATGCAAAAAGGCAGTTTGAGACAGAGACATGTAAAATGGACTGCATGTTAACTAATCCATGAAATGATTAATTATGATAATCGCACTGTGGTGGGATATCAGCATTGTGATAGTGGTTGAGATTATCTATATTTTCTGACATGCATATAAAGTCTATAGGAGGAAAATGACATAATGTCTGGGATTTGCTATAAAATATTTCACCAAAAAAAGAAGTTGGTCATAGAAGAAATAAGAATGGCAAAAATCCAGAATGTGAGTGTTGAGTATTAGGGGATTCTTTATACCACTTCATTCTGTGGATGTTTGAAAATATTCAGAATTTTAATATATATATATATATATATATATATATATATATATATATATATATTTCAATCTAAAGCAGTCCATCTCTCCTCTATTCCAAGACAGTGCCTCTGTTAGGATGACCAGTGTATCTTCTCAGAGCAGCAGTGGTGCAGAGCCTGACCCTCACGATGTTCTCTGGGTCCTTGCCTGATACATTTCTGTGTCTGCAACTTACACAATTGAAATAGATTGGTGCATCATGACTGAGACACCGTGGTTTCCTCTCATCACTGTGTCTGTTATCTCCACTTTGGTTAATGCTGCTGTTTCCTTGAGAAGTGGCTCTGTTTCCTGATTGTCTTCTGGTCTGGTTGATGCACCTGTGGCTCTCAGCTGAAGTCACATTTTGCCATCTATAGTGACCTGTCCTTTCTTCCAGGTTCATCAGCTGATATTCTCAGCTATTTTTGCCATCCATGGAGAATCAATGAATAGAGAGGATGCTATGTAATGTTTCCGGTACGCATTTTTCTCAGTCAAATTTCTACTTCTGTCAAGTGTCTCATTGACTGTATTGGTGCAACGCCAACCTTTGGGTTTCTCTGAGAAGCGTGCAGTCTTTCCAGAATGAGCCTAAAGGAGGACAGCTTGAGACTTCTGAACAGGTGGAGCTGAATGCTTTTCCCTCAGCCCTGGAAGCTTAACCTCTGGAGTGACAGGAAAATAAAGACCTCCACATCTGAGCCCTTGCTCATTTTTACCTTTTCTGCTTGGCCTGGTTACTTGTCACAAACAAAACCTTCCCAAAAGGACCTGAAGCCATATGAGATGATCTCTCCTGCACCTGTGTTCGCTGTCTGTGTCTCACAAGAGTGAAAGCACCAAAGTAAGGACAGAGCTTTGAGTCTGCTCTCTTCACTACTGCGTTCCCAGCTTCTGGAGCAGAATTGGTACCATTAGATGGTCAATTAATAAAAGCCACTAAACAATGTTGAGTACCGTCTTCCATCATACTTGCTTTGAAGATTTATCCAGTTAACTAAAAATGGACCTTAGTCCATTTTCCCCACTAAAACTGTTTCTGAAATTTGTTTAATAAAAATGAACTTGAGGAGCCAGAATTTAGCTCAGTGGCATAAGTGCTTGCCTAGCAAGTGTGAGGTCATGAGTTCTATTCCCAGCATCAAAAAATAAAATTATAAATAGACTTGGATGCTGGGTAAACCTAAAGCTCCCAGTTCTTTTTGGGAAATTCTGACTCTATGTGTGCAGGATGGGGACTACACACATGTTTTATTTGTCTCCTCTATTCTAGAAGAGTCTGATATCATTAAGCAACTTTGGAAATCATGGCTCGGAACATAAGAGCTAAAAGGACAACTGCCCAATCTGATTTTTATCATTAGAGAAATGTGGCACATGGTAGGATTTCATTACATTTTTGTTGAATAAATCAACATATGCTACCCTCTTTTTTGGTTTGGTTTTCTCTTTTCAGTAGCAAGATTGAATGTGTTAACAAATGAAAAACCACCACTCAACGTTTCACTATCATACTGTGTTTCAAACTCGGTAGGTGCAGTGTAGTTTTCCCCCTACTTTATTAATAAGAGGCACAGGATTTGGCTAACAAGAATTGGTCATATTCTCCTCTAAACCTGAAGTCAAAAATGGATTTACTGAACCCTAGCAATTAAATACTTAGTTATGAATAAAAAAAATCTGACAGTTTTAGATATCAAAAATATAAACTAAGACTTTTTTTCAGTTTTGTTCTGAAAACATTCAGCAGAGAAATACATGGAATATTTAAAACCTGTCTGTTCCCATTTTATTACTTCTGCACTTCAGATCTATGTGCTGTGACTGCATTCGTAGGAAGGAAACCTGGAACTCCTGAGCAATCATCAGACAAACAGAATATCTAGGTCCTGATCCTCCTTGAGAGGCTACCCAAGTGTTCCTTGGCCTGTATCAAGTCATGTCTCCTCTCTCTCACCTAGTTATGTTCCTCAAGTTGAAAAACAGGTTCAATTAGTTTGTTTCCAGGATTTATTGAAACTTTTAAATATAGTTTTTATTCATGGGCGAAGCACTGCTCCCGAATTAGGGCTACAGTCACCAAGTAACAAAACAGACAAACACCTTTGTAGATTTATAACATAGCAGGAATAGACAATGAAAAATAAAGAAGCTTAGATAAATTAGAAAGATCCATCAGATAGGTAGAGAGATAGATGATAGATGATAGATTGATAGATGCTGTGGAGAAAAATAAGGCAGAAAAAAGAACATGACGATTGCAATGCTCAATATGATGAGCAGGGAAATCTTTGAGATTTGGGTAAGGAGCTTTTGCATTGGAAAACACAGAATTCCCTCATCAAATCTCTGGGGCAAAGAAGTAATCAGAAACAAAAATAAAGCTGAAGGCAGTTTAGAGAATATAAACTCTATTTATAACACTTATGTAACTGTATAGAAGCAAGCTGGTCAATTGGCAGGACGGGAGAATACAGAGTTCACTCAACTCCACCATTACAGTCGTGTGAGCCTGGCGTCCAGGGCTGCACACCTCTCTCCTCCAAGGGAAACTGAAAATCTGGCTTTTCACATAAGACCTCTGATACTATTTTAAAAACTGGCTGTTACTTTCCTAGCTGCCATGACAAATACCACAAACCACATGGCTTAGAACAACAGAAACTCACTTCCAGAGTGCCAGACACTGGAGGCCCAAGTCTGGTGCCAGAAGGACCACGCTTTATCTGAGACTTTGGGTGATAGTCCTCCTTGCTCCTTGCTGGCTTCTGGTCATGACAGCCAGCCCTGCTGTTCCTCTCAACAGCATCAGTGAAATCTGTACTTCAGTCCTCATTAAGGGTTCACACTTCATGAATCTGATTGTGTCTCTTTGTTTTTCTTTTCATTTTTTCTTTCTTTCTTTTTGTTATTGTTTTGTTTTTTGTCTTTTTGAAACAAGATCTTAGTCTGCAGTTCAGGCTAGCCTAGAACTCAGTCTGCAGTTCAGGCTAGCCTAGAACTCACTTTGTAGCCCAGACTGACCTTAAACTTAGGACAATCCCCCTGCCTCAGCCTCCTGAGGACCCCAGGCATAGTCAGTCATGTCCCCAGATATCTGGAAGGGGATTGCATTACAAGAGAGAAACAACTGTGTCACTTGTAGGTAGTCAAACTGTATTCAAAGTTCCCATATTTTCTGCAGGTTTCTACTCAGATTTGAATACAGCCATGTAAAATCATAACCAGACTGCTTCTCCCCAACACAGACACACAGACACACACACACACACACACACACACACACACACACACACACACACACGCATATACCCATCCCTAACCTAGTACTTCTTATCCTCTTTCCTCTGCCCTGGATCTCCCTGTATCACGAGAATTATGCTTGGCTTTAAGGCACTGCTTCGGACCGTTCTGCTCTGTTTGTGCTGATTTTTAAATGTCAATCTTTTCCCTTTTTTGTGATGGTAATTATCTGTGACTTACCCAATATCCAACATTCCCTTATTCTTAAAGGTAGAAACCTAAGGTTCTGTATCTGAAAAACAGCACTTGGAGGCTTAGGTTGTGAACAGGAATAGCTAATTAGTGTAAGTGGTAGTCTCCGGGCAAGGCTCCTGGAGCGCTTTGTCCTGACGTGCTAGCCTAGGTCTTGCTTGATAGGTAAATGTGAGAGCTGGAACAGCAGCAGTCATTTGGAACATAAAGTGATTTTGGCAGTGAAAGCTACACACTAAGAATGGGGGGATAAAAAGACAGAAGTTCAGCTCCCTGATACCTTAGAGTCACAGAACAGTGTCAGTGTAAGACAATTACTTCCAGATTTCCTTTGTGTGAGAGAAAAAGCAACTCTAAATCTGTTGATGTCACAGCGTAGGTAATGTTTGTTTTCTCCTTAACCTATTCCTGCCCTTTTAAATTCCATTCTATGTTTTAGGGAATGAAGTTTCCCATGCTCCCAGCAAGATTCAGCTAACAGGGTGAATACTGAGGGCAAGCTGGGGTGTTTTCCCCACCGTCTCTATTTCTTTTTTTTTTTTTAACTTTTTATCAGTACCGGGGATCGAACTCACGACCGCCTGCTTGCAAGGCAGGTGCTTATGCCGCTGAGCTAAATCCCCAGCCCCCCACCATCTCTATTTCTGGAGGGTCTGGCAGTTGACATCGCCCCTACCCTCACGGCCATCCTTGCCATCTGTTGATTTGAACTTCAGTGCAGTCTGCACATTGGTCTAATGTAGTATTCTCCCTCTGTGGTTCTGAGTGTCTGTGTTCCTTCTCTTTCTTAGGGATATCGGTCACATTCAATCAAGGACTCACCATACTCCAGTATGACTGCATCTTAACTAACTACGTATGCAACAACACCATTTCCCAAGGAAGCCAAGTACTTCTGCCAAGTAATTTCAGCACCACTATCTCGCCCCATCCTCTGCCTACTTAATGGTCATGGGGCTTTCTCCAATCACTAATGTCTTGGTTACTTTTCTCTTGTTGCTGAGATAAAATACCTGACGTCCAAAATTAAAGAAGGAAAGGTTTATTTAGTTCGCAGTTTGTGGAAGTTTCAGTCCATCATCTAGGCAGGGTGAAGGAGAGCAGAACAAAAACAGCAAGAGCAAAACAAGGGAAGAGCGATTCTCTTTTCCTCCCTTATATTGTAAGTGAGTTACCACCCCCCATCCCAGGGCAGTTGTAGCAATCGCAGCATCTCATGCTTTCCTCTTGCACAGGCTCCTGTTTGCACAGTAAGCATCCAAGCTCCCTACTGAGTCCCTTAGTTAAATTCCTATATTTTTCAAGTTGACACAATGTATCAATCATAACAGTCAATCATCAGATTTCTTCTCTAAATCAACTTAAACTTGTCAGCTCTTTCATCATTTGTGCAATAACTTCCTGTATATAATGACCTAGGTTTACAATATGCAACCTAGTTTCTGTTTTCTGACTGTGCCCATAATGGCATTGTCACTACATTTGCCCAAAGGAGGCATCTAGGTTTCTTCCAGCAGCACGCAATGTCTATCCCGTCTTCCTTTAGAATTCATGAAGACGTGAGACAGAAACTTTCAGGATGTTAAAGTTTTCCACAACTGGGTGAGATCTGGCCATTTATGGCTTCCACCAGACAGATTTAAAACTTTAGCAGATTTTATTTCAGAAAACCCAACTGGAAGTCTCTCATTTTGTCTTTGCTCACAAGGTGTTTCTTGTATGCTTCCTCCATAACTATATCTCTGTCAAAGATTGCTTTGGGTGTCAAACCACACACTGAACACCTTGTTGCTCTGCTTTTGCCCCGTGAACAAAGCGGAAGGCGAGACTCTGATCTCACCACAAACTCCCTGTGTTTTGGCCGCAGAAGCTGTCTATTCCTGCAGCATTTCCTAAGTGCCTTCAAATTATCAGAGCACATTCTTGCTCTGGCATTTGATCTACAGCCTCCACAAATGTCAACAGCTTATGTGTTCTGAGACTG